ACCGTGAACATAAAACAGCACCAGTGGGATGGGCAAAATCCTATGCCCAGACCCCCGGCGGCCGTGGGAAAAAACGGGACTCTCCTTCTTGTTGGTTGACGGAAAGCCTCCGCCAAAAAGAAAAAAAGGAAAGCAACGCACTGGGTGTCTGGGTAAAATATGTGTGTACATAAATATATGTACATATGTATATATATATATATGTATATATATATATATGTACATACTTGGTGCAGCGCATGTTGTCCATGGGAATCCCGGCGCGGGCGCGTGAAGAGAAAGATCATGTGCTGCTTCTCTCGGGTCCTGGTCCCGGAAAACTGATGCCACGAATATCTCCGAATGTGTGGGGGGGGGGTGGGGGGGGGGGTGGGGGGGGGGCACATCTGTCCAAGGCCTTCAGTGGCATGCAGCCCCCTGCTTCAGAGAGAGTGACTCATGATCCTCACGAAGAAAATACATGCAGATCCTTTCGAAAGCAGAACACTTCCATGGGTACACACGTCCTGAGGCAAATAGGCAAAAAGATACAAAACCAAACACATCGCTTGAGCTGTCTCAAAGTTTGCCCAGTGGTGAAGGGAGTCATGTTTTACAGGAAACCCACCTGAAAGAATGAACAACAGCTCAGCTGCCACTGAACAAGTCGACTCAGTGTTTGAATGAGTGCTATCATCCGCCAGAGATGGAACAGTGACGGAACAGTGACAGGTGGGTCTTGGAAAAGGGCTTGTTCTTCAAAAGTCTGCTACTGTTGAAAATATTGGCCCATTCCCAAGATGGTTGAAGGGTACAAATCCATTGACTCACACCTTTCTCTCAAGAGAGTCAAATGCGCTCTGAACAGTTGAGCCCCCTAGTGTTACATCAACCTGGCGGATGAACAAATTCATCAACCTGGCAGATGAACAGGGTCCCCGACTTCAAGTGATCCCGGTCCTCTCTTAAATGGGACAACCCTGATCAAAATCAACCAGGGTTTATCAACGGGTCAAATTCGCTCGTTGGGCTGTCATTGACCACATGGGGCCATTGCAGTCTTGACCACATCTGTCAGATATGCGCCCTTGTCCACATGCCGTCGGGTTTCGGATCGGAGTCCCATTCCAGTCCAACACTGGCAATGTTCCAAAACAACATGTGTCAAAACATGCGGAGTCTTGCCAAAATGTGGGGTCCAGTTTGGGTTTCCGATTAAAGCGCCTCCCCAAAACGGAACCAGGGTCCAAAATGGCGCTATATGTTTAAACAACCCGAGTAAAATCCAGAACCCTTAAGGCGGCGGTTCTAAAAAGACACCCTTTCAGCTCAACAGTCCAGCGTCCGACTGTCACGTTCCCAGACGCTCGAAGGGATCCCAAAATTTCCCTCAACATCACCCCCCCCCCAAAGAGCAAACTCATTTAAACTGTGTTGCTCCAACCTCCCCCCCTCCAGAGCAAAAGGTCGGTCGACCTTTTGTAGGTTTATGCAAAAGCCATTTGTTTCCAAAAGGTAGAGACGATTCGGTCATACCAAAAGCCAAAAATGGCCCAGTCTGATCCCTCACCTTTGGCCCTGTCCTTCCGAGGCCCAGCCAGACCTCTCAGGAAAGGCCGGGTCGGTTCTGTTCTTTGCCCCGGCATCAAGAACTGGGCAAGCTGCGTCGCAGTTGCGTTTTGCTTTAGAGGCTTAAGGGCGTAACATCCCCATCGCCTGGGTCGCATGTGTGCCTGGCTTTTGCTGCCATTTATGGAGAACAGCCGGTGATCCTTTGGCTCCCTCACACTCAGCTCAAAGCTTCGACATGTATCGACACCCGACAACTCCCCGGCGAAAAGAAAGAACCTGAAATGCCACCAGTTCCCCCTGATCAACCTGGGCTTTGTTCATCCGGGATCCCCCCGCTACCCCGCTTCACAGCAGCCTCTGAAGTTTCGGAGCAGCCCTTCAGGAGAATGCCCTGTCAGCTATCGGAAAGAGCCTACCTAACTAATTTGCCCACACAAAAAAAAGAAAAGCTGGAGAAATGTGTCCGGTTCTTGTTTGGGAGCCCACCAATACTAGTCAACAGTTTAGAAACCTGTGTTCATCCCAATTCCGCAAAGTGGCCAAGGGGCAAGCAGGACACTCCCCTCCCCGCCCCGTTTTCCTATTGCTTTGACTTTGAAGCTATCCTGTTGAGGTTGGTGTTAAAGGAGACCAAAAGAAAAAACAACTGATTTGCTGGGTCCCCCCCTGTTTTAAGACAAGCCCATACCATGATTCAATTCTATGGTTCTGTGGTCGGTTGGTTTTGCAAGGCGTCAACCACATCCACCACAAACGACTTGGCCGGGCCCCTCGCTGGCATATTGCGACTTTGGCCATCGGCATCCAGGACCTCGAGGTAGCCAAAGTCAGTGGTGGGGGAGGCGAGGGTGGGGAGGGTACATTTTTGGTGGTCGGCAAAAAGAAAAAAGCAACTTGACAAATGCTCCAACGATGATTGGACACGGAAGTTCCAAATTTCGGAGGTGTACAGCCTGGACGCCGAAGCCAATTTGGGGCGTCCGTATCTCACCCCTGGAATTGTTTGATGTGTCATAAATTCCGGCTCCGCATCAATTGTCTTGGCTCTATGAAATCTGGCAGATTTCAGCAAGTTTCTAGAGCCCGCTTCAAGCTCACAACCGGTCAGGCTCCGAGATCTCATCCCACCGAGCGGAACCCCCCCCCCCCAATACATGACCTCCCTATCCACTTTTCGGACAAATGTATGCCGTGACCCCCATCAGTCACTCTGCGGGGCGTTTGTCGGGTTCTCCAAGCAGCGAGCGGCGCGCCCTTTCTCCCGCTCACCAGGTCAAGCCATCGCCCTTCGGGAGACTGCCTTGGGAGAAGCGACCAAGCGACCCCCCCCCAAAAAAAAACAGCACACATGTTTGTTTGTCTTTTTTGGGGGGGGTCAGATCTGAATCCCTATGGAACAAATTTTAAAGACAAAGGTCAACCTTCCCCCCCTCCCGGCCGAAAGACTGGCCAAACGGTGAGGTGCACAAGGCCAGCGGTTGCCCAAAAGTGATCCGGATCTTTTCTAAAATGGGACACCCGAATCAAAAAATCGACCAGAGGTTTATTCTTTCTGGGTCCATTTGATGGTCTGCACCTGGAAGGTATCAAGGGATTGTGGAGAGAATGTGGAAGGAGCAATGCTGTGCCGCTTCTTCGCAGAAACAAATCGAGGTCACTGCATTTCAGCAGACTTCCGCGGCTGTCATACTATGCTCGGACGTTGCACAAATGTTTCAAATTGGCAAATGGTTCCGCCTCTCTTGCATCATATTCCTGCGGAAAGGGAGGCATGTTGGTCTAGCGCCCTGTGAGGTATCAGGGAATCGCAGCCTTAGAGGAATCACAGCTTGCCGCATGGTGCGTGCGAAAGTTTGCAACTCGACACAAAGGACAACGGGCCGGAAAAGGCAAACAACATTGCCTGACCGAACTAAAAATGATGAGGCTGAAACAAGCCTGTGCTGTGCCGCTTGACCGTCCCTGATGCCCTCCAAAACTTGAATCCCTGTCTCAAAACGAGCGTTGAACGGCTTTCAAATGGATTCGCAGTGGCCCCATCCCGACCAAGGCGCAGGGCGCCAACCACAGCAGCGGCTTGGGCCCCAGGACCGCGCAAATGTTCTCGTAAAGGCCCTGCCGCGGAGCCCAAAGTTGAAGGGGGGACGAAGTTGGAGAAGAAGTTGGACGCACGGTCCAAGCTCTTAGGGGGGGCCAGACAGCTTCAGGAGCTGTCGGGCGCATGAAAGTTGAGCGCCTGGGCAGGGAATCCTTTCCTGTACCTACCAAGTAGCGCTGGATTCCTCCCGAAAATTGCAAGTCGGACTATATCGCTCCACAATGGACATGCCGACGAGATCGCATAAGGGAGAAGCCAATTCACTACTCCTGGGCGCATCTTTGCTCTCCGAATGTTCAAGGATTGACCCATTTGCTGGCCACCGGAGGCTTAGCTGTGCTATTTTTGGTGAAAGAGAAAGGGAAAAGAAAGAGCATGCCCATCCCGTCAATGGGCCTTCGAGTAGATGGAGGAGTTGTAATCTGCCATCCTCAACTCCGCACTCGCTCATTCATCGCACACCCATGAAGTTATGAGGGGTGCGTTGCGCTAGCACCAGGCTTGCGAAGCCTCTTTGATGCAGCAAGCAAAACGTATGCATCCAAAGTCGCCCAGGAAGCTCAGCAAATGTGATGACCGCATGCGGGGTGCTTATGTTTCTTGCTAAAGGGTTGGCATAAGTTGGTTCTATCCCAATCCATCAGCCACATGCCATCAGCCAACAGGTGTGTCAAGCTTCTTGTGAATGCTTACCTTGCTAATGACTGCGGCAATTACAACCCCTGCTAAATGGAGAATCCCCATCGACCAATGGGAGGCCCAATAGCCCCGAGCCAAAAAAGAACTCCCAAAAGGAATACGCTCCAAACAAGGAAGGGCACAGGGCTCTCCAGAGGAAAAGCTATCTTCCAAAAGGGGCCAACGCGCTTCCGTATTTGTAGGGTACTCAAGCGGCACAAATTTTGGGCTGTGAGTCAAACAGCTGCACCCTCGCGGCTACTTGACTTCCTTTTGAAGCTTCGGAAACCAATCACCAAACAAAGGAGCCAGCTTTGGTCCACGCGTGCATTGTCATGCCTATCTCTTTTTGAGTAACGGTATGATGGTTGCCTCAGTTTGCTATGAAGGGGTTCGTCGCACCATCGCTCACACGAAGACATTTGGGGGTGTTTGAAAGTGCCGATTTTGAGAGTTGGGAGGGTACGGTCCTTTCACTTTTCGGATTGGAACTCTGAATGAAGGAAACCAAAAATTGCGCACTCCCAAATGGGCCTAGGTCTCTTTCAACCAAGGTGAAAAGGGTACCCTCAAAAGACATCCCCTGAGAAAGCGATTTTCGGGGGAGGCACCTCCTTCTGGTTGTTTTTCACTGAAACCCAACCAAAAAAGAATCAACAACTTCTGTTAGGGTTCATCCGAAGCTTTGAGACCCGAAGAGGCACTTCATCGACTTCTCGCAGAACTCCAAGGTCGACATGGCCTTCACCTCGACTTGGCGAGCGCCGAGTCTGGGGGTTCACCCCAAAACCCGCAGGGAGGGTTTTTGCCTTAAAGCTCCCAGGATGGCTACCCTCACTCCCACTGACAGAGGGTCCATTGAAGAGGAAAATGAGGCTCTATGTTAGTGGAAGGGAGGGTATCCGCACTGAGTTCCAAGCCGCGGGGATTGACTATGGGTGGTTGTCGTTTCCTTAAACCCCTGTGTTTCAAGAAGCTCCTTTTAGTTTCCCGTGTATTGTTCTAATTGTATATACGTCTCTCAGGACACACGGATGGCCATGCTTGGGAAAATGCCCCGGCCGCATGTGACACCCAAGGGGTGGTTGATTCCCAGCTGAGGTGGGAGGCAGACAAAAGGTCGAAAGAAGGATTCATGGTGCAATAAACCTTTCGCAGGACGAGGTTTCATCCTTGACCGACTTTAGAAGGGTTCACGGGATTGTTTGCATTCGATGCAGATCATGCAATCTGAGTTGCATGCTCGTGGTGATAGCTTAGATTACAAGAAGGCAAGGCATTTCCAACCACGGATTGAACTGACCTGGACTGAGCACAATGGAACCAAACAAGATATGTCCAGATGGCATGCATTGTCTTGGAAACTCCATATAGTTTGCCTTTTGTCGAATATCTTTGGAAACTTGCCATACCCGGAAAGGCTACCCTTGAGGAATCTCCACTTGGAACCGGACCCCCAAAAGGGAGTCCCTCTGTCAATTCTGAGGGGAGCAGCCAGATTACCCTCCTTCTCTATCACAGCAATGGAAACGAACACTTCGAAGGTCGTCTTCCAAACTTCTCCTTTCCACGTTTGTAAGAAATGCTTTGGCTGGATCTGTGTATTTGCGCAAGGGACCCTTTTCGATCCCTTGGTAGATATGGCCAAACAGAATCCCGGCCCTGGCCTTCCCAAAAACCGGTGCCCAACTTGCAGCCAGGCGCCGTCAGCCAGCCGTGGAAGCCCAAGAAGAGGCAGTTCACCTGGCGTTAAGCCCCCGAGGCCCTTCTGGGACTTTCTCGAAGGGGAAACGACCGTGCGTGTCCCTTCAAACTCACTCGAAAAGTGTTCACCGATTTTCGAGAAACCCGTACAAGAGGTTTAGCCTTGGCCTGGATAGGTGTATCCAGGGAAGGGCCCCCAAATAGCCCCTGTTGGAGGTTGCCGTTGAGGTACCCTATTTTGAGAAACACCCAGGGGATCCCCCTTAGCCTTTTCCGTGCAGTACCCCCCAGCCGCGCCGTGCACAAGAAGCAGGCGAAGCACTCGGCGAAAAGCAGCGACAGCATCAGCGCTGGATTCACATCCTGAGAGAGGGCCCCCGAGCCACCACCCTCAAGGACTCAAGAAAGTCATAATCGAAACCCGGTTCAGAGCTATGCTGGTCCAAGCTCAGAGCTATGCAAGGAATTGAAAGGCGGCCGCGCCCATTTATGGCTGGGATTGTCCCTCCCTCCAATTTCCCGGGTTTTGATTGTGACTCGGAGAAGACGGGGTAAAAGCTCTGGGCTGCAGTTGTGGGGGGCAGTGGAAGCCGTATTCGATCGTTGCTCTCTTTCTCTCGAAGGCCAGCAAGAAAGGAACTCCCAACAACTTATCCCTCAGGCAGTCAAAGGAGTATGTAGATATATATATATATATACATAAGTATATATATATATATATATACATATATATATATATATATGTATATACATATGTACATGTGTGTGTGTGTATGTTTGTGTGCATGTTTATGCAAGCATGCTTTACGAGCTGCGCGGGTTGCAAATCCGGGGTGGGGATGCTGGGGAGGATGGTGGGGAGGTGAGAGGCGAGGTGGGTACGTGGTGAGGAGGTGGTAGGGAGGGAGGTGGTGGGAGGTGCTAAGAATGTGGTGGGGCTGTGGTAGGTGGGGAGATGGGTGAGGAGGTGGGATGGTGCGAGGTTGGTGTTTACGCGCATCAACCTCAGAAAAACAAGTGCATCCATGTCGAGCCTGGTTCAAGCCTACCCTACTCGCAGCATCAGCGCTTTTTGCCTGAGCCCCGCGCCAGTCGGGTAGACCACCACACGGACTCGAACATGGTGCTGGAAATGAATATGAGGTCCACGGCCGAATAGATCAGCAAGAGAATGAAGTACTTGTGGTTCCGGAAGCCGATGCAGTTGTAGACCCAGGGACAGTGATGGTCCATTCTCAGCACACAAATGTTGCAAACCCGGCAATGGTGGCACCTGGGCCAAGCCAGAGCTCCACAATTCATTGAACTCATGCATCTCTTGCTGCGGCTCGGTCCAACAAATTTAAGACGCTGCAAAAACCTGGGTTCATCAAAAAAAACTGACCTGATCAATAAAACGATGTCACCAATAGGCATAAGATTGGCGAAACTCTGAGGGGAAGTTTCTAGAAATCTGTATGGGGCCAACTCCTTGAATAAAAAGGTTGGTTCAACAACCTCCTATAGGTCTTCCATTTAAGGACCAAACTTTTGGGCGTAACCAATTTTGCCCCCACCCTATCCCTGCCTGTCTGGCTTGTACTTCAAGCACCACTTGCAGTGCCGCCTTTCGCCGCTCGTCTTCTTCTCCGTCAGCGGGACGGACCTGGGCCAAAAGCGGCCTGGGCCCCGAAACGCGGTTGAAAAGGCCAGGAGTGGTGCCCAACACAGAGCCCAAAACCCAACTGACTTTCGGTTCTATGGTTGTACAAGCTTTACTGGGCCGCACAACCCAATTTACAGCAAGGAGCCAACACTTTGCTACCCGCCCGAACATCAATTTAGTGTGCATGCGGCACAGTAGACACGCGCACGATTGGCTCAAGTCTCAAGAAAAACGCTGCACATCTATCTGCTTGGTGCGTTGCCCGCAAACTGAATTTGCATGTTCGGTGCAGCCTGTACAAGTACGAGTGCACTGCGGGCATCCGAACGCGTTCCTTCTTTCCAACCATCATGGATTTTGACGGGAGGGTTTTGGAAGACTACCTTCTTTTTTGGAGCTGTCTTCCAAGATTCTACACATCACCTTTTGTGCCAAGATTTGTTGAGCTCCTTTTTGGGTTATCTTTAATGGTGACACAAGAGCCGGCGGTTCTGGCTCACCACGACCCCCAAATGGCCCCATTTCCCCGGCCCGGCTTCATCTCTCCGTCCACCGGCGATGGCCTCGGACCCGGCGAGGGCTTCTGGATTCGACTGCGCGAATATAATCCGAATCTAAAGCTGAAAGCGGAGTGAATCGAAGGCCAAGTCATCCTTTGGCCTTGCGGGAACTTAAGGTTCTGCAAAAACATTCCCCATGTGCAGAAACATATTGGTTTTCTTAGTGATTGCAAGAACCGTGGAAGTCGCTTCCATGATTTTCAGTGGTGAATTCGGCTCCTGACTTTTGATTCTGGTGGTGAGAGGGCTGTTCAAAACCAGAAGTTCGGCCGAGATCAGAACATCCACCCTGCTCTCCCATCTACAAACATGGAACAGGGGGATCCTACCATTACTTCAAAAGGACCCCCGTAAGTTCCATGTTCGTGGACCAGAGTGCACACAAAAACGGCGCAAGGGCGAGCCCCAGAGCTGTACGCTGAATGAAGGACCAGTCAGCCCAATCCGAGGGATCTGAGACTTGGCCCCCCACCCCACACGATATCCTGGCAAATTGCCAGGATGGTTCCCCAAAAATGATGCGGATACCCCAAATGAAACACCCCCTGTTTGTCGACCAGGGGTTTATGAATGCGGGGGGGGGGGGTCAACCTTGGGTGGCATTTTGCTGGCTTTCCTCTTTCCAGAAGCCACAATGGTCAGCACCTGCATAGTGCCTTGCAAGGTCAGGATCAGGGAAAGTGGTGCATCCCTTCCAACCGAGCAAAACGTCGGGTGAAGCCCTCCTCACTTGTACCAATAGGAGTGTGCTTGAAGGGTCGAATTTCACGGTGGATGCCCCAAACTTCGCAAGTAGGGAAGGGAAACCCTGTAAATTGCCATGGTTTGTGGCTGGTTTACTTGCAATATTTAGAGCATCCACCGTACCCTCCCCATACTCGTTGCGGGAGTAAACAACCATCTAAGCGCTTCCGAGGCGCGCAGCCTCATTCTGCAGCTCCCAGCCCTGCCCATCAGGGATGCCGCCCGGGAAGGTCAGCAAACACCTTCCAAGCCCAAAATGCCGGCCGGACATGGAAACAGTGGCTCGATGTATCTTAAGATTCGAGGCCTCTCCTGGTGGCCGGTGTCCTGTCCAATCCGTTTACCTTTAAAAAAACATCCACATGGTGGCTAGTTTGCCCTCCCACAACCGCGGCGCACATCGTAAATCGCGCCCGCGACTTCTGGAAAAAGCTGGGGAGATTGCTTAAGAACCCGCTTTCAACCCCTAACAGTGTCTACCCCGCTAGGCTTTTCTCCCAAAAGTGATCGACTGGGCTTCTGGTTAAGCGGCCACTTGAGCTATGGTCACAACACCAAACTACGCGGTTGACCGTGGGTTTAGTGGTTGGCCCATGTCACAAACCCAAATCGACAATCCTGAAACAGGTTTAGGACCGAGAAGCTGGTTGCTTCCTTTTGCTGGCCATCCAACGACCTCGGGCGAATCAACTTGTGCGTGGAACCGGTGCAGGCTCCTCCGAACCTCATTCGGGGTCCTTGAATTTCCGTCCGCTTGAGCCCCCTGGAAAACATATAAGATCATAAAACATTCAAAAAAAATATGCAACAGTGATCATGATAGGTCCCCTTTAAACCCAGCTATCCTCTTCAAAACGAGCCTCTGGGAACCGGCCGACAGGCGCCTGAGCAGGCAGTAGAGCAGCAGTACTGTGATGCCATGGAAGACCCCCAGCTGCCAAGATCCTGACGCTCCGGTCTGAGGTCTGGGTGTGGGATATTCCTGCAGTTTGGAGTCTGGTACCCTATCTGGTTGTACGGGTTCACAAAAAAGTGACCTGTAGATTTCACGTTCCAGAAGCTGGATGAACGACGGATTTGAGAACCACCAAAACCGGTCGCTTCAATGGGCCCACCACGTTGGGTGGGACTAAAGGTTGATGGGAGCTGTGAAAGTAATCAAGAGAGCTGATCAACATCAGCTTGCAAATGTGTACATTATATATATATATGTATGATGTATTCTATTTCTATTCATACATCCAGACAGGTGCGGTTACAGTCGCCCCAAAACACTCTGCTGAATGTTGTTCGCGCTGTCTTGCCTGTGTTTTCACTGTACCCTGCTGGGGGCCCAACATGACGGGGAAAATTGTTTGTTCGTCATGTTTGTTGACTTTGTTTCAAATACGCGGTGTGGCCAGTAAGTTCAGTTCTGTGTGTTGAGAGCATCCATTTATAAGCGGGCTCTCTGCATGTTCATTCAAGTTGCAGGGGCAAATATGAGAAGACACCTAGAACCCCCAGCCAAGTCCACCCGCCCCGCGCTGCAAACACGGCTGGAGAATGAAAGAACCCGCGCTCAAGCGCGCGTGCTTAGCACTGCGCGCACACACAGACACTAGTAAAATAGTAAAAACTCGCTAAAACGTGCGCGTTAAATCTGCACACACGCCTGCCAAAGCATAAGAACCTCTGCTCAAGCGCACTCGCTCAGCACTGCACACACGGCCCGCAACTGAGAAGAAGCCCTTCATGGATGTGAACACTGGCTCGATCGACCAGACATGGACACAGATCAACTCATCTTGGAATGGAGAGCGAGTGGCAGCGCTGGGCTGCAACAAGCTCTTGAAAACGAGCTTCGAAGAGGCCTGTGTTTGTCCAAAAACGTCTGCAAGTGCACCTTGCCGGCATATGTGCTTCTATATATATATATGCATATGCATATGTATATATATATATATACATATGCGTACATGTTTTTTCATATACCTATATTTGTATGTATGCGTGTTGTGTAAATAAGTATACATGTTTATACATATATAGAACAATATATATATATATATATGTGCATATACTTGCCTACATCATGTTTGAGCATTTGCAGGGTGGATTTTCTTATTTCAACACATCGACGAACTCCTTGCCAAACGGAAGGCTTTGCAAATGAACCATACCCACTATAAGGGAGTTTCTCCAAATGGTGGATCCCCTATTGGTTGCTATTCAAAGGGAAAAAAGCCAACAACAGCAAAAGGACACCGACCAATTGAGGGGGCCGCTATGTTGAGAAACGCCCAAATGGAATCCTCCCATTTCCTGGTCTACCCCGCCTCTACGGATGCCCGCCGCATCGCGGAGAGAGTCTGGCACGTCCCACTGCAACAAGCGCAGGCAGTGGAGAAAAAAGTACCTGGAGTCGCAACCGGGGTCCTTTTGGTCGCAAACCGGGGGTGAATCATCTGTGGCATGTGCCGACAAATTCCTTTCCTCACGTGTCAAATTGAACTGGGGGCCGCTTCTCGCACAAGAATACTGTAAGTTGCTATCATACTGCCCAAAAGCAAGGAAAGTGATATGTGCATCTTTGGAGTCGCGGGCTTTCAACTGGCCGACGACATGGAACTGCGCCCCAAAAGCTCCTGAAACAATGAAATCGCGCGTGCTTTTGCTTGTGAGACTCGGACCCCGAGAAAGTTAACTTGTTGCTGGTGAAATGGGAACATGAAGGAAATCCAAAGGCGCAAAAAGACGTCAAATGGTGCCCAAGTTCAATGGTGCCCGAACCAGTGGCTGGCGTGCAAGTGCTGCAACATGTGGCCGACGGGAGAACTGGGTGATCCTTTTTTGGTTGCTTCACTAAACGAACGGAAGTTGAGAACTCCGGATAAAACCCAAGTGCACCTTCACGAGCCTTTCCTGACTTTAAAGGAAAAAAACACCTGTGGCCCCTGAGACTTTTCAAGGTAATTTCAGTGCGAAAGGCCGGGAGCACTGGACATACAAGAAGACGATGGTGGCGACGACCAGAAACACCGGCAGCAGCTTGCTCAGCTCTCCGAAGCGGGGTGTCTCGCCCCCGTCCAGATACCTTGCAATCGCGCCCCGCTTGAATGAGTCCATTCCCTGTTGGTAACCAGCCATGGTCCTTTTGCTTTTAAAGAGTGTTTGTTCGTGGGCAACCCAAAAAAGCACCCTTTGAAAGCAAAGGGAAGAGGCTGCTTAACATGCTTAACTATGGTGGGCACTGGGCTCATGGAGCCTTGGCCACACTTTCATCTGTGGATTCTGGTGATAAAGCACCCATGTCCCTCGGCTTTAGGCCTGTTTTAGAAGAGAAGGAAGCCCTGAACAGAATGGGGAGGGTGCGGCCTTTTGCTTGTGGCTCACTCATACCTTCCGTGTTGGAAGCAAAAATCACTTTTGGGATCATGTATCCAAGATGAAAATTGCGGTTTTGGAGGAGAGAGCCCCACTTTGGGCACATCCCGCAGGCTAGCTTCCTTTTGGTTGCCCTTTTGAAGCTGACAACGGAAGGGTGGGGCCAGGCAAACAAACCGGCTCAATGGCGCGGGGTTCCTTGCGATTCTGCTTGAAACATCACCTCACAAGGAACCTCGCTCGAAATCCGTGACCAAAAGGTGGCCTCCAAAGAGTGGCAAATAAATGTGTGTCTTCCCTGTGTCGTTGCTGTTAAAAACAACCCACACAAAGGGTACCAACTTACCTCACAGCAGAATGATTCACACTTCTCTCTCGCCTGCCTGGCCTGAATGTAAAAGACAGCTCAAATAAATTCAGCCAACCCGTGAGGAGAGCAACCCAAAGGCCGGGGGACTGCTGCTCCCGCTGCCGAGATCTCATCCTGCAATTGCGCGATTTTTGTCAGAACCCGTCGATGCCATTTGCCAGGGATTTTTTGGAAAGGCACTATAGGTTGATTGCCTTTGACAGCCAAGCCTCTTTTCGCTAGCCAGAACGAACGCCTTTTGGGGTTGGCTTTGACAGTGGCAATGGGAAACCAAAAAGGCACAGAGGACCTGGGCCTCGCCAACGGAACCGAACGAAGTGCAGAGGCAGCATCCCCGGCATCACCAGCATCATTAAAGGCGTGTTTCAATTCCACATTTGTCAAGTGATGCTGATGATGCTTATGATGTTGGTGATGCTGGTGATGCTGGTGATGCTGGTGATGCCGGTGATGCCGGTGATGCCGGTGAAGATCAACCAAAAGCTAGACCTGCGGACAAAATGCTTGCGCAAAAATATGAAGACCTGGGTTGGGTTTCCCACAACGATGGGTCTAAGTTTCTGCTCGAAATCAGATAAACACTTTTTGCAGACGGGTCAACAGCAACCAAGCCTGATTCTGTTTTTTTGGAAATTGGCGCTCCTTCTTTGCAGTTTTAAAGAAACTAAAGGCAAACCGAAGCTGGTCCATTCGACCGGCCGGAGCGTACCTAAGCGGGAGCTTGGGATCCACAGGTCTGCGCAGGTGTCTCCTGATTTCATTTGGCGACCAAGGTCAAAAAGCTCTCCCTGCCCAGAAAGAGCTCTTTATAACAGCGACTTAAAAAAAGGTAAAATCCTGGCAAGCTCCGAGAATCTTGACATGACGACCTATCACACAAATGCGGGGAAGATATCCTCATGGTGTCTCCAAATAAGGAACCCCCCTTATTTGAGCTGTGTCCTTTTGAAACCAACCCAAAAGGGTACCACAAAAACAAAAAATACACCCATTTGCTGTTCCAGGCAGGACCTTGCTAGGACGTGAATCATCTTCGAAGGGGACCCATGCAATTGCACTTGGCCATTGGCCCCCTGCCCGTTGGTCATCTAGTATAAGTGTCTGATGGTCATTGTTGATGCAGTTTCCCAAGTGAAAGCTTTCAAGGTCCAACCAAACAGCTGCCAGGAAGCCAACCAACTCGGCAGTCTTTGGCACGAATCAACCCACACGTGTCTCCTGGCAAGGCTCAGGATCCAGCCATCGGAAGGCCTAACATGCTAACCTTCGAGCCAACAAGCCATGCGGACAACTCCTGAACTCACACAAAGCAGGACAGTCCTTGGCTCTTCACGCCGCAGCAAGTTCACATGACTTGTTGGCAGGTAGCACGCGCAAAGTCCTCTAAGCTCAATCTTGCATTGCCAAATCCCTGCCCAAGACAAGGTCATGTCAGCAAATGTGCAATCTGAAAAGTGCATCCGTGCGAGCACTGGCGACACTTCGCGGGACAAAACAACTTTCGCGACCTGCATCGCGGAACTTTCGCGGGACTATTTTCGCAACGATCAGTACAAAAGTACCGCACGAAGCTCACTTCCGCAGTCAGCACGAAAGTAGTACACAAAGTAAACTTCCGCAGCCCCTGTTACTGAAACGAGGAACTTCAGCCAGCAAACAGTTCTAGCAGTCACTGACTGCTAAGAAAGCAAGTGAAGTCCAAGAATCGCCGAGCAATCCGCGGGAGCCAATGAGCTTGCTGCCCACGTAGTTTACTGCCACGCACCTTCGTTCTGCCAAAGGGAAAACCGGGCTGTTGAATATGGCTGTGGCCGCGGTTGTAGTAAAGTTTCGCGCTGCAAAGAGGTTGTCGGTGAGATGATGTCTGGCGCCGCACAACGTAGTTCCTCGGCTGCGTGGATCACCACCCCGTGCGCTGATTTGGCGGATACGGTTACGATTTGGTCGGCCACCTTTGGGTCATCCAGCCACCGTCCACGTGGACGCACATGCGCAAGCCTGTGTGGCTCTGTCGCACACAGGACGTCCCATTGTATGCGGCCAACGCCTTCGAGCACGCGAATCCCGAGGCGTGGCGTCTTCCAGTTCCGGCTGTCCCGCCGGGCGACTGCAGGCCCCTGTCTGTGACCACAAGGATCCGATCGAATTTATCCGAGCCAGCGCCTGGCAGGTAGTCATTGAACGTGCAATCTTCCGGCGCATCGTTCGTCTCAAAGCTGCCCATCTCGATGTTCTTTGCGCCTACCAGCTGAGCAAGGAGGGCCGCCAGCCGGCCGCACGCTGCCCTCGGATGTATCTCATTCAAAGCCTTCAGTTGTGGAAGGCTTTCTAAATCAACCCCCATCGATGCAGCCGAGACCACGATGGCCGCTTTGTCGTTGCTGGCTTCAAGTACGCCAAATCAGGCACCAGGGCCAGCAGCTCATCCGGCAGCTGCAAGGATCCAGACCCGAACCAGTCGATCACCGCGGGCTTTTCCAAGCAGAAAGAGCTCGGATCCGCCATGCGTCAAGTGTGTGGAAAACGTCAGGAGTCGCACTCAACATTCTTGCAAGCCACGCAAAGTCCCCTATATTCTTCTCATGGACTATGGCTGGAACGATGTGGTTGCCATTTCGGTCTTTTGCGGCTACCACCGCCTTTGCCAACTGTCGCTCTTGGAGCTGATGTCCTGACTCTGCATCTCCTGTCTGAGGGGCATCGACCATTGCACGGCCTGAACCAATGCCACAATTGTGCTGAACACTTGGGCGCATCTGCCGGTGAGACACGCCTGGCCTGCTTGGCCAGCAAACCTGCTAGCGCCATGCTGTCTCGATCGGCAAGCACAATCGGGAAACAAAAGAAAGACTCCAAACTTCACAAACCGAGAAAAGGCGATGTAACAACCCAACTCCGACGCCGTACTTTGGAGGCCCCGGGCACAAAGCTCCGCGGTGGCCGCTTGGAGCAGCTCCTGGGGAGAGGTTGAGCAACCAACTTGCTGCGTCCTTCGAATTGGCGGAGTTGGTGATTTGGTACCAAACTGGGGTATACACTATACACCCCCTCCCCTTTTTGGCCTGTTTTGAAGAAATCCATGACTTTTGAGACGAACATGTGTGGAACAAGTAGGGCATGTGGGAATGAACCGTTTTGGAATCCCGAACAAAGGAAACCAAATCGGGGATGGGTTTTTGTTGGGGTCGTTCCATTTCTCATTCCGAGCTGAGCACCAGCAAGCAAAAAGGAAGGTTAACAGGGTTGCTTTGGCCTAAAGACCTCACAAATATGATTGTGGCTGGACTTTTTGGGAACCTTTTTTGGTGGTAAAGAGAAAACCAAAAAAAGGAAAACCACAATTAAAAATGACCCGATGAAGGGTAGCTGACATTTTCAGACTCATACGTTTGGGGGTGCCGTCCCCTGTTCAATTCATTTGGCTTCAGAAGGAACGGTTCAAAGCCCTAAACTACCAATCCAAACCACCACCAATTGAAAGGCTCCTGAGATATGCGAGATATGGGGGGGGGGGGTTCTCAAAATGGGGTTCTCAAAATGGTCCAAAGAAGAAAGTCAAAATGTGCAAACACTGCACATGAAGGGACCGAAGGGAAAGCAGCCATGTTGGGTTTCTTAAAATAGGGATCCGCCAAAATGGCAGCGGTTTCCTCTTGGCTTCCCCACAACCAACCCAAAGGGGTCCAGCAATTTGAGAAACACCCATGTGACAGATTGATTTTCAATGAGGACCCTCAAACATGATTGTTTTAGTGGGGGTTTGGAATGTATTTTCCGTCTTTGAAGTTCATAGCCACAATTTTCGGTAGACCACCCTTTTCAGAGGGGCGCACAACATTCTCACGCGACCCGGACAATACGTGGATTTCCGCAGGAAGGGAAAATTGAGTGGGCCCCCAGCGCACAAAAAACCTGCTTGCTGGTTGGTGGGGAAACGCGCATATCCCCCAAAAATTGAAGGTTGAAGATTCATCCCAGGAGCAAACAAGGTCTTTGGGATACCACCCTGGCCCCAATTTCCCGCCTCCGAGGCTTGTAGCTGACGATCCAAATGGCATCTCAGAGAGCGGCTGGGCAGAAAACACGACTTTCAGCTGGGGAACCATCTTGGCCTTTCCTCAGCATTGGTAACCAACCCTGGTACCCCGTTCAAGCAGAGCCAGGCTTAAACAAACCAGTGTCGACCCCTCATATGTTTTATTCCAAGGGTCCGGATCCCCCGACTGCAAAGTGGACTCCCAGGCGCGAAGGGAAAATTCCGGGGGATCAGCTAAGGGGCTGAAGGCGAAATTCCGATACGCAGATAGGTCTGGTCCATGTCCTGATAACAACAGCCTGGATGTTTTGGTTGGATTACTTAGCATATGTACGGGATCCTCTTGGGCAGGTACCGGATACCTCAAACAAAAAATGAGGAACCCTTCTTGTTGCACGCTTCTAGGCAAAAGCCACTTGGATGGTTTGAATATTGAAGACCAACAAACACAAGGAAACCATGAGTTCCCAACTGCGACAACCACCTAAAGAACTTTTCAGTGTCCAAGGCCGTGGCATCAACAGGCCTTTTGTACGCCTCCAGGAAGTTCACCAGCCATGTGGGCATGAATATAGATTGGTTGGATTTTGTGAACACCAGAAACACATGGGCGGATGGATATGCCACCAGCGTTTTGCGGCTGTTCCTCATTTTGGTTGAAGTCTCCTAGCCATGCCACAAACCGAGAAGCTGATTTGAAAGCCAATGCTCTGTGCCCATCCCCGGCGCTCATTTTTCGCCCCCGCGCGCCCGGGCCGCCCGGGCCCCGAAAACATGGCACTGCCGTCGCCGAATTCGGCGCGGCAGTGGTCAACCCCGACTCCTCTCAAGCCTCCCGATATTTCCCATTGGGGCGTGCTTTTTGGGGCTGGCTTAAAGAAAAAACAAAAGAACAACCGCCATTTTGGGGGGTCCCCTCAAAACACCCCACCAAAGAAAGCTCACTTGAATTGGCCCCCAGCCAAACGTAGAAACGCCAAAAGGGAAACATGGGGAACCCTGTCACAAGCCATGCAGCTGCTTGGCCTCCTCAGAGAGCTCAGGTAGCTTCATGGCCGGGGAATTCGCGTGGAAACGGCCTGCAGGAGAAAAAAAATAATATCCTGCTGTGGTGTGATCTAGCGGCATGCCCATGACTGCCCTTATCACGTGAAATCGGAGCTGTTTCTTTCTATGGTGCGATCTGGCGGGTCCCAAACCTTTACCACTATCACTAAGCGGGGGATCTCCCGCTTTTCTCACAGAAATGGCAACCCTGGAATTCCGCCCTGAGAACTGGAGCAAGTTGTGAACATCCAATCCACGAGGGTGTCAGCCCTCCCAGCGATTGTCTGAGAAATCTGTTCAAGACTTTGAGGCATCGATAATGTAGGTGTTTCCCCTCAATGACCTCCGTTTGGATGGACGCAGTGCGTACGTTACTTTACTTTGCGCAGCTACTATATCTACATGTCCTCGCAAAGCCGGTACGCTTTTCAAACAAAACCATCCAAAAGGCCAGCTAGAACCCAGCCGAAACTTCATTTACAGGGAACGGCCACCGTCCGAGGCCGAGGGTAGATCCGGGTCCGAGTCCGAGGGGCTCTTCTTGAAGGGCTCGAAGGCGTCGGGCTTGTGGTTCAGCGTCAGCGCCTCTTTGCCCTCGAAGGCGCGGCGCCGCTTCTGCAGGACGCTGGCAGGGGTGAACTCCGCCAGGCCCAAACCTGCGGTTTGGCGCTGTGTGTGTGTGTGTGTTGCTTTTGGGGCTTGGGAGGTGGGATTTTGTTGTGGCGTTTAGGTGGTGTAAAGAATTGTTTCAAAAAAAATTATTTGGCCTCGTTTCTCTTCACACCGTGAAGAAAAGAGTACCAGGCCCTGTGAGAACCCCTAAAAGCGTTTACTTTCAGAGACCAAGGCAAAAAAAGGTTTGACGTGCGAACCTTTGAGAGATCCTTTTTGGCCTCAAGTGCGGCTGGGAAGAGCCCGGAATGGCAACTTGTTGCGCATGAAAATAACACGGAAGAGAAAGGGCCGACCTGAGATTCCGACCCAGCAAACAAGCGAATGTGTCCACTTATTTTGTTCGCCGAAAGTGATCAAAACCAGGAACTCAGGAAGTGACCCTTTCAAGTTGGCGCTTCTCTTGAGTCACAATCAAACCTATTAACGAGGTCTACCCAAAACCTCCCTAAACCTCCACTCGCCCGGCTTGAATGACCCACCTCGAGTGGCCGTGAGCAAAGAGCACCCTTTGTTTGGTAGTTGGGTTCTACCAACAAAGAACGCAACCAGTGGCCCTCTCCCCAGTTCATGCTTGGTTGTTTGTTTGCTTGCTTGCTTGCTTGCTTGTTTGCTTGTTTGCTTGCTTGCTTGCTTGCTTGCTTGTTCGTTTGTTTGTTTGCTTGCTTGCTTGTTTGTTTGTTTGTTTGTTCCCTTACCCTTCCCAGGGTTCCACCTGCATTAAAAGAATGGCAAGGGCCAAACTTACATAATGAAACTCAGGTAAACAATGGTGGCTAACATTTACCCAACCATTGTTTTGCTACATCCTTGCAGAACTCCTGGCTCCTTAGCTCCCTGTTGAGGCACATTTGGATCTCCGAAGCTCCCTTCCAACCACCAAGAAATCCAAACAGCCAGGAAGCCCATTTGGGTGGCGCGTCGTTTTGGAGGGTACCACTCTTTTGTGGTGTTGAAGGGAAACTTAAAAGAAAAGCACCACCCAAATCGGGGACACGCATCCAAGACAACTCCCTTTCTGCTCCTACTGAGTCCCATCTGCAATTGTTTTTTCCATATCTCCAAGGCACATCAGCAACTCGGATCCAACATGTTCCCCAACCAAAGGATCTCCTCACCGTGGCTTTCGCGCGTTTCTACCCGAGCGATAGGCATAGCGAGGCACAGACATAGGCCGCCAGGCGCCCGGTGCGGCTGCGGCAGCACCGCCCCGCCGGGGCGGTGGCACGGGAGGCCCAGACCGCCTCACATCAAGGCGCGGCCCAGAAAAGTTCGCGGAGGTCTGCGGAGGTTCGGTTTCCTTGAGAGTGCGGGCTTGAAAAGGGGGGGTTGTAGGGTTAAAACTTGGGAAGCTCCGGGGATGTGTGTGTGTGTGTGTGTGTGTGTGTTTTTTCCGTCTGTTGCTTGGTGACCCAGGGGAAAAGGGGCACCCTTTTTAGTGGTTAGTGATTTGTGGTGTCGTTCCTCGCGATCTATGAATCTCGTGGTTCGTCTCCAAGTTTGGAAAGGGTTGAAAAAGGGGGGGCCCTTGTTGGGTTGATTTTAAAGGGAAACCAAAAGGAAAACTAGTGGTAGGGGGGGCCTAGAAATAAAACAAGTTAAAACTCCAGCCATTTTCATGTTGAAAGAAGCTTCAGGGGTGGGGTCCTGGGGCGTGCATTCCCTACGGCAAGGGTTTACCGACAAAGGGCTTGTCCACATCTTTACTCCCAAATGGGATTGAGGTTGCTGAGGGGGGACCCTCAAACTCCCCATACTTGTTTGAACATACCCTTTCGAGCTGGTTTAAATAGGAGATGGAAAGGAAAGCCGAAACCGTTTTTGGGGGTCGGGTTCCTATGTTGACACTAGTACCCTCATAAGCAAAATGTTAAAGAAGAATCTCCATTAGGGATTTGTGCTTGTTTAAGGGTTCGTGTGTTCCATGTTGCCCTCCTCCAAATTAGCATACAACCCTCAAAACCAGAATGTCTGAAGAACTCTCCATGAGTTTGTGTTTGTTTGCGGGGTTTGTGTTTGTTTCCATTTCAGAAACAACTCCGAATGGCGGCTACTTCACGTGCCATACTCGTGGAAATTCGTTGACAAGAGTTTTTGACTGGGTACCCTTTTCACCCGAGGGAAACCAAAAGGAAGCCGAAATCCATGGGATCCGAATCGCAATCTTGACAATCAAACCAAAGTCCGGTTTGTTGCAGCCCAACATGTTGCACCGGTGGCCTGCGCCAAGCGCATCGTAAGATGGAGCAGATTGCGGACGTGTCGCGCTTGAGTGTGACTGCTCATTTTTCGTTCTAAGCCCTAATCAGCTTGGCTCTTCTTGGTGGTTTGGATTGGTGGTTTGCAGGTGTTCGTCGGGGTGGTGTCCCGCGTTGCCCTCAAGTTCAAAAGACTCCCCAATCTGGTTCCCAAACACTTGTGAATGTGAAGCCTCAGAAGGGGGGCAGGGTGGGAGACCTGCACCTTCGTGAAAAACAAAGAAGAAAAACACATGGCCAAGGAGAGTGATTGCTTCCTACTACAAGAACCAGGGGATCCACTCCCCAAACCACCAACAAAACCGCCAACTAAGGGTTACCTGAAAACATGGTTCACAAGTGGCAAATGCACCTGACCATCGGGTCCTTCCCCCCCCATCTTGGTATGTGTCAAAATAGGGGACTAGATATGCTGTTCTTTTGTTCTTGATATGTCATTAAGCGTTCAGGGAAAATGCCCGTTGCTCCAGGTTGTCTTTTTGGTTTCCAATAAAACAATCCTATTGTGAGAAACACCAAGCACGGGCCTCTGTCTTGTGAGGATCCGTACCCCTTTTTAGGCTGGTAAGACAGATCATAGGAGGACATGGGTTCACTTTTCCAATAAGGGAATCGAAGAAAGGATCCAAAACAATTTGGGGGGACCATCAAAGAAGACATAGTTATCATCCCTCATGTTTGAATGGAAGCCAAGAAGAAGACCGAAGACCGTTTTGGGTCCCCCATACGAACCCTTTCCCAGAAAACATACAAACGTACTAATTTCTCCTTGACTTTCCCCTGAAAAAATAATAAACAACTTGCTAGTGCTCAGCAGGGAATGAGAAATGCAATGACCCTTATAAGCCATCCATCTGGTGGTTTCCTTTAAGAGAATCCAACCAAAACCGGGTCATTCCAACTCATTCCCGACGTATCGCACCACGTAAAACAAGTTACCTGTGCTCTCCCATCCGCCTGCGGAGCCCCGCCCTGATGCACCAGCCGCGAGTCCCAGAGCACCACATCCCCAGGGCCTCGGGAGGGACCCGCGAAAACCACAGCCGGGTGAGCCGGGTGAGCCGGGTGGGGGAGGGCGGGGGAGGGCGGGGATGGGGTTTGTGGGGTGGGGGGATGGGGGAGAGGGTGGAGGGTGGGGACCCACACGAAAAAGAAGAAAAAACAAATCCAAACCCAAGCAACTCACAAATTAACATACCCTCGAAGCCGTTCCTGACCCACGAACTTACATACAGTCGAAAGCCAACCTCGACCACACCAAAACCAACCCCAAAAACCAACAAATGGACAACAATCCTGAGAATGAACCTCGAGCAAAGCCTATTGAGATCCAGAGTTTACATAAAGTTGAGACCATAATGCTTTGGATCAGAATGACAGGTTTCCCTCAATCCTCTCTCTCATCCCTAAGGCCTTAGGATTGAGAGGGAGAGAGAGAGAGAGAGAGAGAGAGAGAGAGAGAGAGAGAGAGAGAGAGAGAGAGAGAGAGAGAGAGAGAGAGAGAGAGAGAGAGAGAGAGAGAGAGAGAGAGAGAGAGAGAGAGAGAGAGAGAGAGAGAGAGAGAGAGAGAGGAGAGAGAGAGAGAGAGAGAGAGATGCGGAGACTGAGGGCGAAGCTTGGGCAGAGGTCAGCGCAGTGCCCCCAACCCTCTCTCAAGGGCAGCGCCCTAAAGCCACAGACACCCATCCGCACATCAACCAGAAAGAAGGCACTTCAAGAAGAAGCCTCGGCCAGGCCCAAGGCAGGGAAAAATCCATGGGCCAGCCCATGTACGTGGGCACAAAAAGGCCAACACCCCTGGCGTTAGCAGAAAATGGAGCACATCACGAGCATCTCATCACCTGCCGGCATCGCGAGCATCGCCAAACATCACCGCAATGCAACATAGGCCCAAAGATGGGCCGCCGGCAACTTGAATTTTTGGACCCCCGCCCCCCGCCCCAAAGGTCATTCCTCGAATGTACGCCTAAACGAGAGTGAGGATAGCTCTCGTGACCATTGGTGATGCACCTGTTGGTGGAAACAGTTCATTGGCAGCTAAAGTCACATCATGCAGGGCTTTCGGGTCGGGGTCCCGGAAAACTCAAAACCTAACCCGTTGAGCGAAAGCCCGGCATTCGGATGAGTTTAGGGTAGTGATGGCTTTGGGCTTTGTAATGGTTGGCTTGGGGCGTTCGAAGGATCGATCTCCGAGCGGCGCAAGGCCACGCGGTGGCGGTGGAAGCCTCTGCCCCGGAGCCACCCGCGGCCCGCGTCCTGCAGCGGCCGGAAGCTGCCCACCGGCGCCTCGCACAGGCCTTGGACGACACCGAAGCCGGAGCCGAAGCCAACTCGGCGCCTGGGTTTGCACGACGTGCCGAACCCGGGCGGTGAGTGTTTTGCGCGAGGTGTGGTTGCGGTGCGTAAGGAACCGGAAAGAACATAGAGAGACAAGAACAACAAAAGCTTGAAACGGAGCACTGCATCCTTTACCTGAGATTTAAGAATTTGAGAGCATCATCTGAGTCAGGGAGAATATAAGACAATTTCCAACGTTGATCCCGAAATTTTGCAACCCACCGATCACCAATCAATACTATGGGTGTGCAGGGCTCCCTGCCGCCAATGGGTTTAAAAAGCTGCACTTAATGATAAGCCTCATCTGGGACTTGATCTTCAGGAATCCAAGTCATTTGAACATGTTGTCTCAGCCAACAGCCGAGCCATGCCAAGAGTCCCAAGCCAACCTCCCTCCTTTCTCCCCACCTCCCCCCCTACCCCCTCTCGCCCGCAACCCAACCTATCCCTGTGCCCCTTTCCTGTTGGCTGCAAAATCCAGTTCCATGGCACCTCCCCCCCGCCTTCCGCCCCCTGCGCCTACCCCCCCCCCACGGCCCCCTCGCTCCTTGGCCCTTCTGCAGCTCGCAGAAGACCTCGTCGTGCTGCGTGCCGGGCCAGCACTCGAAGGCCGGGCCCTCCAGCGCGTCCATCTCGTTCAGCGCAACGAGGCCTTCCGAGGTCACGTCGATGGATAAAATATCAATGGCCCAAATGGGCGGCTCGTCTTTCTTAAGGTTGGACCCCCAAAATTGGGTGGTTGTCCTAGTGGTTGCCCTTTTGAACCGCCAAGCGAGGGGTGCCCCCCAAAAAAAGACACAACCAAATGGACTGCGCTGGTGAAGCAAGATGCAATTCGGCGGCTGGACCTCCGAAACATGTGGGGATGTCAAAATTGACCTTCTCTCTCTACTTTAGGCTAAGGAAGCCTCAAAAGAGAGCTCGTCGAGTTGGAGGGCTCGAGTTTGGATACACGTCAGGTTCACCGAGACAGTTTCTCGTCTCTCTCACAATGCAAAAGAAGCGCCTTTCGGACGGGGCAAACCATCAACTTGCCTGCAAATCGCAAATCCCGTTGTACCCCACCAAAGCAAATCAACTATCCATCCCAAGTGCACGTACAATCGCGGAAAAACCAACACTCTGTCTCGTGCAAATTTGCTCCGCACAGGAAATAAGCCTTATTTCGATCTAGGGATCTAGGATGTCCATCCCCATGGCTTTGTCACCTTGGCACATGTTTCTGGTAAAACGCCCCGCTCCTCGGAAAGTTTGTGGCGGGGATTCCACGCAGCGAAGACTCGCCAGAAGCCCAAGCGGAAAATGCTCAGAAAACAAACTTGTCAGATCACATTGCCAGTCAAAAATGAGCGTTGCCATTGTGATGATGACAAGTAACAATGCGTTGCACGCATGTCGTAGTTAAAATATCGTGACTCTTGACAATCGTAGTAACACGTCCTGACCATTCTGCCCATCGCCCCCTAAGCCCCACATCCGCCACCAAACCGGCGTTGGCTGTCGGCCTTGCACATAGGTGCACCCGGTGCTCTCCCCGTTGAGGAGGACCTGAAAACAAGCAAAAAAAAACTACTGGCTTCCCCCAATGTTGGCGTGCGTTAAGGGGTCCTTGGTTTCCCTTAAGTGGGCTTCCCTTGAACCACCATTTGGATCCAGAGCCAACATCAAATGCAAAAGAGCGGTGTGTGGAGAACCCGCCCGGACCCGAAAGGCGGCAACTGGCCCTCAATCACCTGACACTTCTCCATCCATCCACTGCTTGGTCTCGTTAAAGCTGATCCCATCCAAACGCTTTCCGGACCGGGAAGAAATCTAACAAGACGGACCGTGACCTCACCTCCCTGGTAAAGGTGTCGGAGCCTTACCCTTGGGGTTGACTGGGAACCTCAAAAAAGAAAAAGGTGCCACTGAACGAGCTCAAGAAGAAACTACAGTATCGGAACGCTGTGCTCAAAAAAAAAAGGTGTCCAGTGTGGTTCAACTTGAAGACACCAATGGCAAGCCCGAACAGCAATAAACCCCCGGTTGATTACTAGGGAGTATCAGGTTCATTTGTCCGGGGTTCCATTAGGGAACAGCCCTGGTCAAAACCTAGGCTTGTTCAAAAGGACTCCCACTACAAGCGGACACCCCCCCAACAAATCCAAGGTCTCTGCTTCTGTCAGGGTTCGGAAATTCTGTCGCCAAATTTGGGACCCCCGGCTTCCGGGGAACCACCCAACGTCCGGAAACCCCCGAGTTCGCGCTCGACAGGCGGCTTGCCTGATCCGTGTGGTCCCAGTCCCTAGCGGACAGCAGCTTCGAGGGCCGGCCGAACTGGAAGCCGTCCCAGCCTCGCTCGGGCACGGGGCTGACCCTCTGTGGGTTTCGTGGGTTTCGGTCCGCGTGGTGTCCCTGGAAAAATACACGAGAAAGAGGGAGGAGCTCAAACAAACGACAGACCCGAGATCATCAAACTGGCAGAAGGAAGGGGGGGCCTACCTTTTGCGTATTCCTATTCACAAGAATGAATTCGGGTATTGAATGGTTCATCCAAAAGTTGAGATGCATTTGTAGATAGCTGGGTTTGCCAGTCAACAGTTCATGAATTTGTGGGGGGGTTCCTTTCAAAGCTCGACATCATACGCTGCGAGGCTTGCCCCTTGTCCCACCATCACAAGTTCATAGCTGGTTTTCCTTTCAATGGTCAAGGATTTTCCAGGGTTGCCCACCCGGATATTAACTTCCGAAAGTTGGTCGACTTGCATGGCCAATGCTCCCTCAAAGCTAGGAATTCCAGGAGGTGACACCAACCCCAACCTATCTGGTCTCAAAATGGCTTCTGACCACCTATTCATGCGTGTTTGAAAGGAAACAAACAGGAGACCGTTGCCACTTTAGGGGACTTGTCACTGGAATTTGAGGCATTTGCAGCGAAACAAAAGGAGAAGGTTGCCGTGTCAAATGACCCATGCCATCTTAGAACCCCCCAACCGGGCGATGGATGTGGACCCGGGCTCACGTGGTGCGGTTGCTCGGCGTAGATGCCCAGCTCGATGAGCCGCCGCCGGAACTGCAGGCGCTCCTGAACCATGCGAGGCTCACCGAAGTGGATTGGCAAAACAACATGTCCCAACTGTTGGTTTATCAGAGCACCCAAAGTGGCAGTTCCCCCGCGGACTCCCTCGAAAACAAGCCCAAAACCGGGAACCAGGTCCAGAGAAACGAACCACGCCCAACCTTCCTCAAACCGATCGGCCACTCCAATCCCGTTTTCCGTGCTAGAGGACCCCACCCCCCCCCCCCCGGCCCCGTTTCCCAGGTGTTGCACCGGGTGGCTTGGCCCAAATTCCCGGCTGATCCATCCGCGCCTGCCACAGCACCCAGCCCGCGCCATGGAGCTGGCACAGGTTCTTGCCCCGCACCACCTGGCTCAAAGCTGAGGTTGGGGGGGGTTGGGGTGGCGCATTGGCTTCTGGCTGGTGGATTGGGGGCTTTGAGGTGGGTTGAGGTGTGGCTGGGAAAGGTGGAGGTTGAGGGCTTGAGGGCTGTGGAGCCCTTTTCGGGCTTGCCGGACTCGGCCCCGAATGTTCGGAAACCCGAAGCGGAAAGGACGGGACCCCTCATTTTCCCCCCATTTGAAGACACCCAAAACCTATCTTCGGGCCAACCTATGTTGGGTTCCTCAAAGGATGGGATCCTCCAAAATAGCTGGCATGTGCTTTTTTTGTGGAGCCCAGCTGGTATCCTCGCAGTGACACTGTGTTAATTCAAAAGAAACCCCAAGCCATTTGGGTCTTGTTCAAAATAGAAACACCAAACAGAATGAACTTCGGATTCCTCTTGGTTTCCCGGCAATCCGACTACCACAGCAAAGCATCCTCAGCTTTAATTTCCCCCCCCAAAAAAAGAAAACAAATGGAAAAGAAGAAACAAACACGTGCCAAGAGTACCATCAAGAAACCACAGGGGGCACCATCCGCTTCGCGCCTGGCTCCAGTTCTCGGGCGTCCAAGTCTTCTCCTGTCCATCAAAGAAGGCGGGGGGGGGGTGAGCTTGGGTTTGTACGAGTTGGAGAAATTGGAAGGGGCAGGAATTTGGAAGGGGGAGGAATTCAGAGAATTTGGGGAGTTTGGGTGATGCTTTCCTTGGGAAGACCGAAAGTAATTTCCGTTTGTTATTGGCGAATTCGGGGCGTGTGCTCCAGCAGTGAAGTGTCTTCAGCCTGGGGTCTGTTTGGTCATTTCGGTCCGGAATTGGTGAATGCTCAAAATGAGGCTGGGGTGTGTGTGTGTGTGTGTGTGTGTGTGTGTGTGTGTGTGTGCGCGCGTGTGTGTGTGTGTGCGCGCGCGTGTGTGTGTGTGTGTGTGTGTGTGCGTGTGTGTGCGTGCGCGCGTGCGTGCGTGCGTGCGTGCGTGCGTGCGTGCGTGCGTGCGTGCGTGCGTGCGTGCGTGTGTGTGTGTGTGTGCGCGGTGCGTGCGCGTGCGTGCGTGTTATAAAGGCATGTCAATACAAAGTAGGTCATAGGTATTACAGTGTAAGGCAGGTACACAGGTAACAGTAGGAAGGCAGGAAGCAGGTGCTATAAAGGTATAGAAGGCAGTACAACAAGAGGTGTGTTAACAGTAGGCTGCAGGGTGCACGCCATAGGTAAAGGTCGTAGGTACGTAGGTACGTAGTACGCATATGTCATGCAGGTGTCACGGTGCTGCAGGTGTCAATGGTAAGGCTTAGGGCTGTTATGGTGTTTAGTGGTTGCTGTCACAGTCAATACAGGCAACATATATTGGAGGTATTGAAAAATGTTAGAAAAGGGGCAGGAAGGCAGGCTGTTATACAAGAAAAGCAGGTGCTGGGCAGGTATTCCCTACACCAGGTGCGGGATTGCTTTCACTAGCCCGGAAAGCAGAGGGCACAGGTATTGCAGGTGTCGCTATGGTACAGGCTTGGTGGTACAGGTACAAGTAGGTACGTGTATAAAGGCAGGAAGCGCGCAGTGGTAACAGGCTGGTAAGAAGGCAGGCACGCAGGTACATGTTATTACATACATGTTATTATATACATACATACATATATACATATGATACATATGATACATATGTATTACATACATTATATATGCAAGTATAAGATATATGTTATATGTTATGTGCTGCGTGTGTGTCTGTCTGTCTATTCATTCATCATCTGTCTGTCTGTGTCTGTGTGCAAGTGCGTTTGTTTCAGGTGTGTTTTGGTGCGTGTGTGTTTTGTGTGTGTGTGTCTAGTAAGTGTTTCTATAGGTGGTTTAGGTATTTGTGTGTCTATGCGGTTTAGGCGCTAGGTTATTTGAGTGCCATATACAGATAATACATGTCAAGGATAATATGAGGTCAAGAAGTAATATATTATGATACATGTTAGGCAGTAGGCAGTGTGTGTGTGTGTGTGTGTTGTGTGTGTGTGTGGTGTGTGTGTCATGTGTGTGTGTGGTGTGTGTGTGTGTGTGTGTTGTGTGTGTGCGTGTGTGTGGTGTGTGTGTGTGTGTGTGTGTGTGTGTGTGTGTGTGTGTGTGTGTGTGGTGTGTGTGTGTGTGTGTGTGTGTGTGTGTGTGTGTGTGTGTGTGTGTGTGTGTGTGTGTGTGTGTGTGTGTGTGTGTGTGTGTGTGTGTGTGTGTGTGTGTGTGTGTGTGTGTGTGTGTGTGTGTGTTGTGTGTGTGCTGTGTGTGTGTGTGTGTGTGTGTGTGTGTGTGTGTGTGTGTGTGTGTGTGTGTGTGTGTGTGTGTGTGTGTGTGTGTGTGTGTGTGTGTGTGTGTGTGTGTGTGTGTGTGTGTGTGTGTGTGTGTGTGTGTGTGTGTGTGTGTGTGTGTGTGCTGGGTGCCACAGCATGCGGGTGCGCATGGGCGTGCGGGCGTAGCGGGCGCGCAGCGGGTGCTGCATAAGGCATACATGCGCAAGCGCGGCGTATGGGCGGGCGGGCGGGCGGGCGGGCGTGGCGGGCGGCGGGCGCGGTAGGCGCGCTGGCTGCGCGGCTGAGGCTGGCCGCAGCGCAGGCAGGCAGGCAGGCAGGTATGCAGGCCCGTCTGTCTGTCATTCATTCGGCCTGGTCTGCCTGGTAAGGGTAAGGGGTGGCGTCTGCGGCGTCTGTGGCGTCTGTGCGTCTGCAGCGTGGCGTGGCGTGCGTGCGTATGCGGCGCGGGTGGGTGGTGGTGGGTATGCAGCAGCATGCAAGGAGGCAGTAAGGCAGGTGGGTGAGTGGGTGTGTGTGTGTGTGTGTCTGTGTGTGTGTGTTGCAATCTGGGTGACCCTTGTTGGAGTGGTGTCCCAAGGCAGACCCAAAAAGAAGCCCGTGGGCCAGCAAGAGCAACCTGAAATAACTTCCCGGACGTCCCAACAAAGTATCCCTGTAAAAACTGCGGGTTCAATCCTATGAGGTACATATGGGGTACAGGGGCCTGTGTGGTTTGTAAAGGGATATACCCTTTTTGGGATTGGCTGAACGAGAAACGAGTGCGTGCGTGCGTGCGTGGGTGGGTGAGTGGGTGGGTGTGTGTGTGTGTGTGTCTGTGTGTGTGTGTGTGTGTTGCAATCTGGGTGACCCTTGTTGGAGTGGTGTCCCAAGGCAGACCCAAAAAGAAGCCCGTGGGCCAGCAAGAGCAACCTGAAATAACTTCCCGGACGTCCCAACAAAGTATCCCTGTAAAAACTGCGGGTTCAATCCTATGAGGTACATATGGGGTACAGGAGCCTGTGTGGTTTGTAAAGGGATATACCCTTTTTGGGATTGGCTGAACGAGAAACTAATTTGAAGACAATCCATATTGGGGTCCCTCAATTTTAACGCATACCATTCACAGGGTATATATACATAAATATGTGTGTGTGTGGGTGTGTTTGTGTGAGAAGCCATGTACATGCATTATAATATTTGTATGCAAGGGTTTTTGTGTGTGTCTAAAATAGGGGGCCTTCCTTTTGGTTCCCTTTTCAACCACCCTCAAAACGGGTACCCTCAAAAAGATAAGCGAATTTGTATTAATCGCGTGTATGTTTTTTGTGCCCACGTGTATATTTACATATATACTAATATATATATATATACATATATAAATATGTATGTGTGTTTGTCTACAAACCAATTTGGCTTACACCCAGGTATTGGGTGCCCGCCCAACGGGGGTAAACTTTCTGACCTTTGATCCCAGGCGCATCTGCGTGGTCGAGCGCCGCACATCGCCCCTTCGCAAAGTCCCAAATCTTGTCCACCGCTCCGTCACCTGAGTCATGATCAAAACATGGTATTAAAATGGACCAAGCCCAGAACCATGTAAAGAATTGAAAAGCAGATATCCGCACCCATTTATGGCTGGGACTGTCCCTTACTGCCCTCCGACTACCTGCATTTTGATTGTGCTCAGCTCAACTCCTGATGTTCAAAGACTTCCACTACTCACCCCAGACCAAACCCCAAGAAATATGGTTGCCTTATCCTTAGGGGGTATCTTCCAGGGGTCTGGTGGTACAACCTTTGAGATGTGAAAAAAATGTTCAGGTTGGTGTCCACAAGTTTCTTCCTCATGGCTTAACCCCCTTTTGCCAGGGTTGGGATGCCTGACAAAATCCGCGCGTTGGGATGATTGGGACGAACCACCCAGTTCAGGCTGGTAAAACACTTAGAGAACCCTGTCGTAGGTGTTGGAATGAGGGGCTTGTGTTTGAAGTTTTAACCTAACCCACTTGGTTTCCCTTTAAATCAACCCCAAGAAGAGTACCGAGCCTGCAAAACTCAGCTGCACATGATGCTTCAACAAGCGTTGCTTCGACATGCTTAGGTGCTTGGGCCTGACAACCTACTCTGGTCTCGAAAACATCCGCATGGGTGTGGCATTTTTGGGGAACTCGGTGTTGGTTAGCTTCAGAGGGAAACCGGAGAAAAGGTCATTTTATTGCGGTGTCGTGGGAAAATCTGCACTTCTGAGTCACTTAGCACCCAAAAAAGCTTGTCCTTCTGGTTCTACTTGCACTATCATATCCATGCTCTGGAACCCTGAGGGCACACCACAAAAAGGACTTCGGTTCTCTTTTGGTTTCCCTTCAGACGACCAGTTGTCAAAAGCGTACCGCAAAACGTCGAATTGATTGAACCCGAGTCGCACTGCTCCGCGCCGAAGACGCCACACACCACCGTGAATCCGTCCTTCATGAAGCCTGGCGTTTCACAAATCCATAATCGGGCCCCCTTGAAAAACCGGCAAACACATGTGCCCTTAAAACAGGACACAATTGTATCTGTAAAGGTGCAGGTATAAGCATAGACATGTCTGTAATTACCTGTCCATATACATGCACCTATGGACAAATACTGGGGATGAGACCTCCAGTGCGATTCTTCTGGGTGTCCACAGCAGAACTACCCTCTTCCAAACTCAAAAAGACAGCCCTTGAAGTTACCCCCCTAAGCTGCAGCCTGAAGCAAAACTTCCAAATCAAAGTCACCCAAGTGGCTTAGAAAACAACAAGCAACTCCCCCGATCTCCGAATTCAACCCACCCTGTCGCCTGCCAGCGCCTCTCTTCCCGCAGCGCTGCGCAGGTTGAAGAGGCTCAGAGCTCGGTGCCGGCCGCCTCGAAACGTCAAAGCCGTGCCAGGCGGGAGTGCTGCGAGTTTTCGGAGGCTTGGCTCGAAGAAAAGGGCAAAAAAAGAAGCAACCGAGCACTTCTTGTGGTTTCTTGGGGAAATAAAAACACCTCATGTCGAGGTACGCCCAACAATGACGCAAACCCACGGTTCTTTCGTGCTGGAAGAAGACGGTTGGGGAAACCGTTACTTTCTAGAAATCCTCCCTTACGAAACCAAAGTGTGACACCATGCGGAGAAAGGCATGGCAAAATTGTGTGTTGCAAAACTGGAATGGGGAAGGAGTCCCTGAACCGTGGAGCCAACCACATGATTACATCTTCAGCAACTCCTCTTTGTTTTGTGTTTGCATATTTTCCTGCGGGCTTTTCTGGAAATCATGGGTCAAGAATCCAGTTCCAGCTGTTGAAACCTATTCCGCCCACCCTGCGGTTTACCAGCTCCTGGGAGAGATCAACGTCCCCAGGTTGCCAAGGGTCCCGAAAATCATGCCCTTTCTCTTCGAATTCCCTCTGAGAGCCAACATCGGGCCCCCCATTTTCAGACACCCTCATGGTAAGGGTTTCCCTTGGGTGTCCAATTTCAAACACGCCCAAAAGGCTTCAAACGTTCAAACCATCCCAGCAATCCGAAGCAGGATTTCCCAAAACACGGATCTGTGATTGAGATTGGATCGCGGAAAACAGCATCAAGGCAGGAATCCTTCGAAACACGTACTGTTGCTTTGAACCTCCCAAGCAAAGACTCCAGAGCCACTCTTTCTGTAGGGCCTTGAATGGGGCACAACTTCCAAATGTTTCCGGAGACCCTCAGGCCTACGTGGCTTCGACCGGGGTCCTATGCATCTGATTGAAAGGGTCAGCCTGTTTCAAGTGGCATCGAGAGAAAACCAACTCTTCTTACGTGCCTTTGGCAATACCCGGATTGGGTTACGACAATATCGAATGAGCGGCACCCATTTCGAGGGCAAATGTTGCCTTCTTGAGACAGGTTTCGGCTTGTGGAGTCACACTCCATAATCACAAATCCCAAAGACCACTTGGTCAGCCTCGCTCAAAAATGGTGGTTTACAATTGGTGGTTATTGGTGGATTGGATTTTTTTTTGCCCTGTTACCCTCCACAGTTGCAAATCCCAAAACAATGCCCAAAATTGCTGGATGCGATACCAATTGGACGTGGTATGAGTTCTGTGTCAAAGTCGGGTACCCCCAAAATGGATGGTTTCCCTTTGGCTTCCCTTTAAACCAACACCGGAAAGGGTACCCTTCTCCAACAAAATGAGCGAGCCACATGTATCATTCCATCAGACCTACCCAAAGCCAGCCAGCGTACACAACCACAGCCTGCCTATCAAGCCATTGGGCGTTCTGGGCACCTCAATGATGTCCTGGGCTGCGGCTGTTGAGCGAATCCGTCAATGCGCTGTTCGCTCGCAAATAGGTTTTTGCGACCTGCAAGAACTCCACCATGTGAACCGTAAAGGCAGAGCTTGATACCTGGGAAATGTGGTTCGTCCCACTTCTTGCAAAGACAAACCGCATCGTGACACTCAGCCTGTTGGGAACACCACGAGGTCTCCAAGAAAACCTGCCAAAATCCCCTGCACGCTGGGCCAAGGAACCCACTCAGGTCCTTTCCCATGAAGTCGCTGCTTCTTCTCTTTCGGTCCCGGTCCCCGAGGCCGTCCCCTACCTCGTGGCTCTGGTCCTGCGTCAGCTTCCGCCTCCTTCGCCGCCTTACCTCTTGCCCCGGCCCGCCCAGCTCTGCCAGCGCCGGCCCTGCCAGCTCTTCCGGCCCTGCCAGCGCCAGCCCTGCCGGCCCTGCCGGCCCTGCCGGCCCTGCCGGCCCTGCCGGCTCTGCCGGCTCTGCCGGCTCTGCCGGCCCTTCCTCTTCCTCTTCCTCTTCCTGGGCCACCACCAAAAACGGGCTGTTGCACAAATGAATCATTAGCTGAGCCAAGCAAGCGATGTCCAAACAACCAGCTGTTTCCATGCAGGTTGCAAAAGCGCCCGGCACCCTTCTGCACCGAATTCACACTGTTCACTGTTCGCAACTCAGGAGAAAGAAACCAAGTGCGTCCCCGGGATCCTTTGCAGAAAACCGCCAAGCCCGGGAAAAAACACAACAGCTGGGTTCAAAAATGTGGAATCCCAAATCTGGATGTTCTGTCTGTACAAATGGCAGAAGGATATCTGCATCCTGTATCTGTAGGATGGGACCGCTGTGAAATGAAAGTGCACAGACCCCCTTTGCTGAAAGAAAGGCCAAACCATGGCGGCCATTGACAATTGCTTAGATGAGCGTCAGCTGACTTTTGCTTTCCCAACACTTGGCGAACCCTGACACTCTCCGGGCAATAAAACGCGAGTGAAAACCTCATCACTAAAAAAGCCGGACAAGGCTCCTAAACGCCAGGCTTGGCAGTATTGTCGGTTCATCCCCAATAGATCAGCTTCTCTCAAATTGGTGGTGGATTGGGGGCTTGGTGGTTAATGGGGTGATGTCCCATCTACCCTCTACAAAAGGCTAGAAGCCAGGGGTTCAACTCCTCAAACCACAAATCCAAACCACAAACTAGGCGTACCAGAATAGAAGCATCACACCACCAAAAAAGACTCGATTCTGTTTGGCAACTACCAAAAGGAGAATGAGTATCGATCATGAGTATTGACCTTCAAACGGAGACGCATGGGTGCCTTGCAAGCGTTCCGCGCCTTCTTCCGCGGCGGGCGCCTGTGCCTCGCCATTCGCCGCGAAGGCGCGTCTAGTGTGAAACGAGAAAGCAAACACAAAACATCCACACCAGCCAGCTGTTTGCCCTCCATTTTGAGGTTTGGGGCAGCTCTTGCAGATCTCGAAAGGATCTTCATGCCTCGATTCTTAGCTCGGGTGCAACATGAATGTGCTGTCAGGAGTTCTAGGTGAATACAGCAGTGCCCATGCTAAAGCCGCGTCATATCTGACCTGCCAATCATCCCATGGTTGCATGAGTCTGAACAATAATTATGTATTGACCATGCCGACGGTCGCAAAGCCGATAGCATCGCTAGTGGTTCATATTGATTTTCTCGCAGTCCTTCTGCCTTCCCTTTCAACTGACAAAAGGGGCACCCCTGAGGAACAAATACAAAAAAACCCTTTCGCCACTGAAAAGCACCGCTCCGACCGCGCCTCGACTATCTGCCCGGCATTACCGGCATCTGCAGCTTTGGCCTGCCGCACAGACGATGGAACGGGGGAGAGCGCCTTCATCCCCTCACGTTCTTGACCCCTTTTTTGGGACGGTTCCTTACACGTATTTTCCAATGTCACTCGGGAAACCATGGAGGAGGAGAGTTCAATCCTCTCAGTTTGGACAAGCACTACCCCCATAGCTTTCAGCTGGGGAAAAACCCTCGAAACCCGCCATCCACAGCTGCCGCTGGAGCCGCGCCAAGAGGAAGGCCAGGCGCCAGCCTCGTTCTTTGAGCCACCCAATCACCAGGGATTGCTGGGGGGCATGTGGGGGTGGGCTTTGGGGGGGGGGAGGGGGCTAGGGGTTATGGGTTGAACGGAGCGCGACTTTCTCGGGTCCATGTTAGTTTCGGCCTGGTTTGACGTGAAGCCTAGCCATGGAACCAAAGATCAAACTTGCGGTTCAGGTCCTTGGAATGACCCTCATCCCGAAACAGTTCATGCCCAACCCTCGAACGATCTGAACACATCAAGAGAACTCAGTCGATCCCGCGGATTCATATGGAACACGAATGGTTTCCATTCTAATTCCCAAAGGAGTAATTCATAAAACCCGTAGTGCGGGTCTCAGAATCAGAGGAGATTCTTACTGCGGTAGAGCTTCGGGGTAGATTCCCATTAACGTTCGCTTGCAGCTTCAACTCGCAATCTCACCAAGTCTGGGCAAGATGGAGCCAGGAATCTTTGAAGTCCTGACTTCAAATGCCAATTTGTGGTTGGCCTTCCCTTCCAGAGACATTCAAAAGAAATCGCCCCCGATGCAGTTTGAGGACACACACACACACCAAAATTCCGTCCACGGCCCCGAAGACCGGTCCACTTTTGTCATGTATTACACGTCCATCACCGCACCGCCAAGTCTTCAGCCTTAAGCCCCTCTAATGCATAGGCTCCCCAGGCACATTGAGCACGGAGTTTGAGGAACTTCTCGCACCAGAGAACTTCACGAAATAACAGCTCACCCACCTCCCCCAATATCTCTCAAGACATCCCCGTCTCTTTTTCAGGGTCATCATGTAAAACCTTGAGGAAGAACCTCGGGTTACTCTATGAATCTCACGAAGGAACCCCCTTCCAAAAAGGTTGCTGCATAAAACCCAATGTCTGATGCCCAAAAATCCACCAAGTAAAAAACATACCCTACATGGGAAACCTTTCTGCAATGGAAAAGATCTTTGGGGGCTGCTGTTTGATCAAAACATGCCAACTGGATGCGTCAAAGGACCCAATTGTTTGTGGGTTCCGTATTTCAGGCGAGCATGGGACCCGTTTTGGTTTGGGTTCCGAAACAAAACCCTAATTTGAGGGTCCCCAAATTTCAGCAAAAACACACAAAAGCCCTGGTTTACCTTGATTGGGCCTGAGCACAAGACACGCTCCGCTCCCAACTTTCTGCGAGCAGCTGTGCCAAATCTTTGCGCTGAACCACCTGGTCTTGCTGGAGCCCGGCTGTGTAGCGATCCAACCCCAGCCTCGGTCCGGTTCGGTACTCTTCAATGCATGGGCCCCGGGGGGGAAAGGGGGTGGAGGCCTCAAACAAGGGCTTGTTAAGGGCGTATTTAGGGCTTATTTGGGCTCCCTCCCCCCATTCCCCCCCAAAAGGAAGTCAGCTTGATGTGAAATTTGCTAGAGCATGGTCAAGTCACAGGCTGCCAAGGTCTGATTCCTCTCCCATCGCGTAGCACACAAAACCAAGGGCTCAGACGCTGCACGATATTTGGCCTTCTTGTGGAGGGTGGCCTGTTGTTTACCGAGAAAGAAAAAAAGGGGTTCTATCCCCAAATGTCCGATCCTCAACATGGCTTGGTCTTTTTTTGGTGCTTGGCCCGCAGGTGGCGCAGCCAGTACAGTTTTGGGCTGGAATTCAACAATAATAAGCATCGTCCTTTCGTCCAAACCCAAACCATTTCTGTGCAACATTCCCGAAGACATGCTGAAGCCATCCACTCGCAAATGGTCAAAACAGTATCACTCGCAATTGGCTTATTGGGTCTCGTTTCCAAGCAGAAGCACTCCGAAAAGCAGGAACATTCGTTGCCGCCAAGAGACTTGGGCAAACTGGGTGGTACTGAGCAATCTTGTTTGCTTTCGGATATCCGAACCTCTTTGGCTCTTTCTTGCTGGAATGAACTGGAAGGGGATTCCCTAAAGCCAAGTCGAGGATGCATCGACCCGATCACAAAAATTTATCTGCCCGCCTGAGGTATCCTTCCAGCGGCGCAGGCCCAACGGCAGCTCCTCGCCCACAAGCAGGCCTTCCCGGCCCTCTTCCAGCGCCTCGTTTTGGGTTTGGGGTTTTGGTCAGAACCACAGGTCGACCGCAAACCGCGGGCCCATGTAGCAAGGATCCCCCGCTTCGACGTCCAACCTTTAAGGGGCCAAGAAGTGTGAGGCCCTTGACAGACAACAAACAAAACCAGCAGTGGAGAAAACAGTCACAAAGACCCGAAACCTTGAAAGTGCGTGGAGGGGCCTTTCCCTTTGTTCCACTGTGCTTGTGAGCGCAAGCAGAATCCTGGAGCTGTGCAACCCATTTTCGGGATCTGGGGATTTGATTTTGGTGAAAAGGACCGCAGGGAAGGAAGAGCAGTCCAAAGCTCAACCCTGACGTGAGCCCAGAAAACGACTTGGCGTGCGATAAGTAGGGTATGAGGGAATGAACCTGGGGGATTCCCTCATTTCCTGCTGAGCACCAGCAAGTTGGGACCCAGCCTCATCCTGGACAACACCTTGGAGCTCCCGGTACGTCTTGAGCTCCAGATTTCCGCGCGCGTCTGCGACGGCTCCTGGTGTTCGGCAAAAAAAGCGATAGCTGAAATTCCACCTGTCTATGGGTTTGCCAAAGTACTTTGGGGGGTTGTCTCCTGCTTCCGATCGGGGATCCTGAATTAAACACCAAGTTCTCTTGCCCACCTTTCCGCTCCTACAAAACGCAACCCCAAGCACCTCTCGTGAGAGGGGGAACCTGCACAAAGTAGAAACGGTCGGCTGCCATTTTGCACCCACCCTAATCTGCCATCTTGCTCCTTCCGCGGATAGGCGCACATCCGGCATGTTCAGGAGACACTCAAGCCCTTCAAAACGTTGAGGGTTAATGTTCCACAATAGGTTGATATCCTTCAATAACTTGTGTAATGAGATCAGAAGATTGGATGAATCAAAGGTTGTCTTTCTTTCGGGCATCTGACAGATGGCGACCGTTGGTTTCATCCCCTTGGCCCCAAAGCCAATCGGCTGGATTCCCCTTGCCAACAAAATGATTGATCGGCTCCCATGACACAATCGCCACTGGAGGTCAAATGACAAAAACAAAAGACCCCAAAGCCAAAGGCCCTCTACGAAACCGGGCGGCCGCGCGAGGCAACGAGCGAGCACACCGAGCACCATGATTGATTCTCAACGCGGAAAATATGTCAGTTCATGTGTGCTATGGCCAAAAGTCTCGGGGTGGAGGAAGATTGCCCTGCTTGTCTAGTGGTGCGAGCCCTTAGTGTTTGTGTCTGAAGGCGAATCGTCAATCCTGATTGCCAGCAAGAAACCAGGCTTTGCAAGCGTAACACATATGGCATATTCCATCAACATGGCCACATTCCCATCTTTAGCTGCAGGAGCCAGACGCTCAATTTAGGCCACCACAGCAATGCAGCATCAGCCATGAGAGGCCATCGGGTTTGTTTGGCCGGCTCCGAGGCCCGTGTTCACCAGAAACAAACTGGTGCTGCGTCTGGGATGCCAAGAAGTTGTTCAACGCTTCCGGTGGTAGCTCGTATGAGGTGCTGCATATCAACCATTTGCGCCTTCCCGGGCTTGGCCCACAAGAGCATCGCCATGCAAGTGACTACGTGGCAAATTCGCGCAAATGCCGATCAAGCCCACTTGCAGCAAGGACCACAAGGATAAACAAATGATACAAATGTGTTTTCATCCACCACCCTGTCTTCCGCAAGGGGGGGGGGCAACACAACCAATCAGGGGATGATTCCCCTTGTCAAGCCTTCTTATCAGGGCTGCAGAAAAGTGTTTAGTCCTGTTCAGCTTTGGGTACAGTCATCAACACATAGATGTTTGTTGTCCATCAACTCGCCCGCCTATCATGAAATGAGCCGTTTTGCCAACTGTGAGTCAAAAAGCGCATCTCAAGAGTTGCCCAACAAAACGCAAAACATGAAAGGGTTGATGCATCAAAGCCGCTTCGGCGACAATTTGACCCCCTTTTGTGATCTCCTCCGACGAAAGTCACCAAAAAAAATCTTCGCAAACCTGCTCACACGAATGCTGGTGATTGAAAAATGCCGATCATGCAATTACTGCTGGTAATGGATAGCCACATGGACGTGCTGTTGATGGCTGGTGGGCCTTTGCACGTTGAAAAACCACAGATGCTTCAACTTGGTTAGGAAGCCAAAAGCCCCGACACACGACAAACATGCGAAGATGCGATACATGAGGTATTGCCTTTCCCATAGTAGGGATGATACTAGCCGGAGACGCAATACTCTAAACATGTTTGCCAAAATAGGAACACGAGGTTCCAAAGCTTGGTTTCATGTTCCTCGAAGAGCTGCATCATTCATTTCCAGCAATGAAAACAAGCCGGAGCCATCGCGATCAAGCAGAACTGTCATGCCCGCAGCTGAGAGAAAACCACATGCAGGAGGACGTGGAAGCAAGGCACCCTAACATTTCCCGAGCCAAGGCGGACACAGGCACCAAACAAACCATTCCTTTCCACCTGACTGGGCCAACTGTACTCAGCAAAAACTGCACCACGGCAGGTCGCGCCGCCAGCCAAAATAAAGGCAACATCTACTGTCGGCTGCAAAACCGCTGGGGGATCTTTTTCCAGCCATTCCGCAGCTTTGCCCAGATGTCGTAACAAATAACAACTTCGCATGCCATGCCACAAGGGGAACGGACGTCTTTGCAGTAAGTGTTGTTTGCAGTGAACACAAAAGTCTACAAAGAAACTGCAGCCTGCAAAATGTAATCCAGCCAGTCCAAATGAGCACAGATCTCTTTTCAGGCACTGCTGCCTGCAAAATGTCACCTGGCCAGCCCGCAATCTACAAAAAGCGGCTGCATGAAAAGTCCAAGTCTGCAGTGAGCACATGACTTCTCGAAGCTGCTGCCTGCAAAATGTCATCCGACCAGATAGCAATAAACCTCTTCTCAGGAACGGCTGCCTGCAAAATCCGCAGTGAACTCAAATGTTTTCACAGAAGCAGCTGCCTGAACAAGGTCATCCAGCACAAGAGTCAGAATCTTGATCACTGCTTCACTCCGTAAGGGAACATGCATTAAGAGACAAAAGAGAACGACCGACAAAGGGCTTGGAAGTCAAGGCTCGGGGGCGCAGGGGGAAAGACAGTGCGTGTCCTTTCCCCGTGTCCGCACCCCCCTGTGGAGCCTTCTCAAATGCCCCCGCGGTCAACAGAGCGTGTTCGACCAAGCGCCAGGTGTATTACCTGTGAGGCGTTAAGCAATCGAAGGCATGGGTTGTTGTAGGAAGCTCTGCGGGCAACCTACTGGTGTGCATGCGGCACACACTGCAAGGTAGAGACCTGGCTTTGCGGGCAACCTGCTGGTGTGCATGCGGCACACACAGCAAAGTTGAGACCTGCCGAGGCAGTGACTGCATGCGGCGGCATGCGCTGTGCGGTACCTAAGGCACCGCAATGCGCCGGCCTCTGGGGCGCCAGCTGCGGCTGGGCCCTGGAGGATCTACCTGAGTTGCGACAGGGTGGGTGGGAGGGCGCAAAAAAGAGGGTTATACCCTAAAGCATGACCCTTAGGTGGCTTGAAGCAAGAAAACGGCCACGCGTCCGAAGATTCAATCAAGATTAAAACATAAGGGAAAAGGAAAACCTTAAACGTTAGAATCTTGATCACTGCTTCACTCCGTAAGGGAACATGCATCAAGAGACAAAAGAGAACGACCGACAAATGGTGCGCTTGCTCTTTTTCTTCATAAGGCGTTGCTTAGAAGTCAAGGCTCGGGGGTGCAGGGGGAAAGACAGCGCGTGTCCTTTCCCCGTGTCTGCACCCCCCTGCGGAGCCTTCTAAAATGCCCCCACTTCAGGGTTCTAAGCAAACGGCCTAATCTATTGCCCCCTCTTCAGAGCGTTTGCGAAGCACTCTTATGCTCCGGCCGCCACGGTGCGTCGGGCGGATGCAATGACAGCGCGGATTTGTGAGGCCAGAAATCATGCGGGCGAAATCGAAAGCGAGCGTGCGGCTTGCTGTCGAACGCGGAAGTATGGCCGCGGCTGAGCTGATCAGCCCACACGTTGCGCGAGGCTAGCACTGACCATTTGCGCTTGTAAGCCCATGCGGCGACGAGCTGCACAAAAATTTGCAGGGGCCATGCTGTAGTGAACAGTTAGTTCACTCCGGCCTCGGATGCAGTATTGTCCGTGCCGGAAGGCATGCAGAGGCCGTGCGTGGCTTGGCCTTCGGTAGCCCAAGCGATTCGCATGAGTGCAAGCTGGGCTAAGGTTTCAAAGCAAGCTATATAGCGTTGTGCCTCTTTGCTGTGGAAGTCCCAGGTTTCTGCAAACCAGAAGACAAACCGGCTGGATATGAACCAGCCGCCTATTGCCACTGTGGTGCCTTCGGCGCATGCGTCTGCTGCTGCTTTGCATGCCAGGATTGGCTTGCTTTGCAACGGGCATGCCAAATCTGCCTGAAAGCATTGCAGGAGCCATTCAATATTGGCTCCTTGTTTTGGACAACCTTCGACGTGCTGGAGGGCGTGGCATGAACGGCTCCATCGCCTCGGCCAACAACGCCACGCTGGCCACGGTGGCGGCCAACTGTGGACCAGCACTCCCTAGACATAGCGGCAAGGATCACCCACGCTGCTTTGTGACTGGGCACTACACGAGGCAAGTTCGATGGGCTGCGCACGGGGGTTTGCTGGTATTCTAACCCAGCGGCATGAAAATGCCGTGCACGGGCGAGGCCAGTATGGCCTTGGCGTTTAGCGCCGAAAGGAACGCAGGCCACAGGCGTGCGTTTATGGAAATCATGCAGCCTGGCGGCAAATGCAGATCTGCATACAAAGGCGCGAGCCAAGACCTCAATTCCAGGCTCAGGCTGGTGGCCCAAATGAGCAGCCCTAGGACTTGCTCCAAAAGCTTTCTTTTGATTCTTTTTGATCGGAGTCCTTCAGTTTCAGAGTTTTAAGCGGTGTGAGTTCGATGGTTTTCAGGAGGAAGTTAATGGACCATCCGCACCAAGTGAGGCAGTTTTGGAATTGCACTTTTTTCCAGGAAATTGGCGCACTGATGGCTGCAAAGAAAATGACTTGCGGCCAATAGGTCATCGACGAACAACCA